CACAGTGGCGGATTTAAATAATGATAATATGGACACTGCCGCCTGGGCCCCCAAGAAAGGATGGACACAGGGCCTCCCAGCAAAAATCAGCTCTGGTGCCTATATTGTTCAGCGCCTCTGAATATAAAATTGATAACAAGAAATCAGAGTGTTGTTATATTCTTTTAGTGACCATCTACGTAATGTTTATGAAACAGCGCGTTAGCATTCAGTTTGAATAACAAAATATCCCTTTCACTTCTTAACGATTTTTTTGAAAAATGACTATTTCATTTCTCAAAAATTACCGAATGGCCCTTTTATTTCTCAAGGAGTGGAAGGGTTATTTTTTCATTTTGTGCTTACACTGATTAATTATTACCTGGCATATAATGTTCAGTAAATAAATATCTTCGTGGTATGAACAGTCTCTTTCAGTCTAATAAAGACTCTTACACAATACTGTGTATTTTTCATTTGATGATAATATCGTGGAAGAAATTTTTTGAATGTATGATCAATTGCATAGAAGGGGAAATTTCAAGGGTGGGAGCTTCTGGCGAAGATATAAAAAGTGCAAGATCTCTCCTTTCCTCCATGCACTGGACCTTTTCCCTCAATTTGAAATAAAAAGAAATAGACTTGATGATGGCTCAAAGTTGCATTTCAGCAGCATTAAGAAAATTAAAGAATTTGAGGAGTGAGAGCACATACGACAACTTTGTTCCGAAGGCTAAGAATAAATGGGAAGAGATGGAATGGGAAAACACTGGTTTCCCCATTGTCAGAAAGAGGAAAATCAAAAAATGTTCCAATGAAAAGCTGCTGACTCGCCACACACCAAATAGCGATAGATGTGGAAAATATCACTTTCGCAAATAGCGTTCAGTATATACGTTATATATACTGTAGTAATGCACGTTATTTAACGTATTTTAGTGTTGTTTACCAAGTTTGTATTCAATGAAATATTAAACACGGCAAACATGACAACAACTATCGATCATATTTGTTTTTTCTTCTTACTTATAATTTCATGCATATTCTATAAATAGTGTGCACTCCAAATTTGACTCGACGCCCTTTACTGATCGGTAGCATCCGTGATAACTTTTAAACTCTATTATGCACAAGAAGTTTGCTGGTGAATCGTCAAGTTTAATTTACTTCAAAAATTATGGTGCAAATTACAACTATTCCCGTGCCCTATTAAATGCAAAAACCAGGCTGATGTACATACGATTGCACTAACATGAGATTACGCATTAAATTTTGATATTAATTTCTGAGTTATCATGCAACTTTTAAAGTTTCCATTGCCGTATTTTATTTGTCAATAATTGCAGTAATTTATGTTATTCGCAAAACAGTTATAGTGCGCACCATTTGCCGTCTGTCCCCGATCATACCACTGGGCCGACCGGGCCTTTTTTTAAAGCCGCCACTGGTCCGTCAAAACGTATTTTTTATCAAATTTGCTCACAGCTTAACACATTGACTGTGAACTGGGATGAGGATACCTACCTCAGAAACTGAAATACTTTTTTTGGAAGCCGGCAGAGAGCGTCGAAAGACGCCGTTCGCCTCCCACCACAGGAGCGGAGGGCGTCTTTTGACGCTGTTCGCACTGAACGTGTTAAGCGTGCGCGAAGAAGTTTTTTCTATATCAAGCTTTCCGCATAGGCCACCAGTCTTGCGCTATCATCTATGAGCTTACAGTTAAATCAAAGTTGACGGATGCAGTGCTGCCAGTGTTTAGTAGAAAATACCAGTACGGCATCCATTTAATATGTGTTCATTACAGATTTATATAAGAGATTTAGAAAATTAGTGGTCGAACTAAATTCATCTGGGGGTGGGTCATGACCCCCATGACCCCCTCACTGTACAGCGCTTGCGAGGGGTTCTGATCGTTCCAGAGGGACCACAGAGCGACAAGGCCGCTTAAGACTTCTGGCTCTGGGTCACATATTCAGTAGTACTCGGGCCATCGCTAATCAGTGGTTTGCGGAGCATGGAAGGATGGTTGTATGCTTACGGTATATCGCCGAATACGACATATTGGCCTTTTTTCTGTTCGCCCATATTGGGTGCTACCTCTCACAGCTGAACATCGGCATAATCGTTTGCTCTTGTATAGAGAAAGAACTCTGTGGGACCGGAAATGGAGTTAGGTGACTGGGAATGCTCGATGGTTGGGCAAGAGTGAGAAGGCAACGAGGTGGAAGGCATGACAGAGAGCATCACGTACACCACACCATGGGAGTTATGGTATGGGGTGCTATTTCTCATCGTAGCAAATCACCACTAATTTTCATCAGAGGCAATATAACAGCCCGACGCTGTATTCAGGAAGAAGTGGAGCCACATATTATTCGATACCTAAACACCACCCAAAACCGGTTTTTCAGCAAGAAAATGCCAGACCGCATGTTTACCATGGTCACCACGATGGCCTGACCTATCTCCAATTGAACATGTCTAGGACATGATAGGTCGCAGATTCTTGAATTTCCAACACCCTCCACAGGCTTTAGCAGTTCTTACTCACGAAGTTGCATTATTGACAGTTGACGATTCCAGCTGAACATTTGATCATTTTACTAGTAAGGGACACAAAACGTACGAGATGCCAAAAATTACTAAAATCGAATAAACATACGTAGGTGTTCACCTTTGTTTGTCACTCAGTATGTGTTGGAAATGTACAATTTTATAATTGATTAGTTCTTAAGAATAATACAGCTTGCATGTGCGTTCTGATGTTTCGAATTCATTAAAGGTCGAGAAAAGTGAGCCAACCCTCTTATCCAGAACTCAGGGTATTCTTTTCCAAAAGTCTTTGATGCGGTTTATCCGAATACATGGTCCAAATCTCTCAATTGCCTCCAGTTTCCGAGATACATTAACCTAAAATTACATAAATAGGGATTTTTGTATAATTTTGAGGTCACGTAGCATGGTGACATGAGACATTAAAAGCGCTACACCCAGAAAATATAAAATATAATTTCTTGTCTTTGGCACCCTATTCAAAGCATGCTGTGGCAACAATGTCAACGTTTTATCTTTGTTTTTGTTTACCTTTGTTAAAATGTTATCTCATAAAGGAACATGAATATGGCCTACTGGTCTACCGAGAAGTATGACAGATCATCACGATAGGCGCTTTAGACCACTAGCCCTACGAGACCATTTTGCCAGTAAGCGTCAGAACGCTGACCAATGGTTTGGAGGAAACCTGTTACTATGCGTACACTCTATCGCCGCATTCAAGCCTTTTGGACTGTCGTCATCGTTTAAACTGAAGCAGAGAACGGCAACGTTGGGAGGCAGAATGGCATAATCTCATCTTCAGCGATGAATCGCGATTCTGTCTAGGTTACGCACGATGGTCGTAGAAGGGTAAGACGCCGCCGAGGAGAACCGCATTATTTTCTGTTGAGATGCATGTACACAGAACTGTTGAAGTAATAGTTTTGGGGGGTTATGGCCTATGGTCTCTTTGCCTCAGGCAATATGACTGCTACGCATTATGGTGATAATGCCCTACAAACCACTGTACTGCCGTATCCAGAGACCTGTTCACACATCTTTTTTCAGCAAGACAACGCACGTCCCTATATTGCTCGTCATACTACGGACTTTCTTCAAGAAGTAGATGTTAACGTTTTGGCGTGGCCATGCCGTTCATCGGATTTAAATCCCATCGAACATGTGTGGAATATGATGGGGAGGAGACTATCCATTTTGCACCGTCCGCTACAGACGGCGGGGTCGCCCAACATATTATTTTTTTCCTATTACATATCAATAAAATTTCGTAAGAACGTTATCGTTTCATTCGTAATGGTTTGCCAAAATGATGTTTGTCCGCATCTTATACCAAGACGTTCTGCGCTATGCACAGAGATATCGAACCGCACGGTCAACTGTCAAGTGGTCGGAATACTAAGCATTCACATAACAAACCAGTAATTGCTCCAATACTGTTATATTCGTATAAGACGAGTGATGTAGAGTTACATCTCAAATACTCAATTTTAAAAAGAAGCATGATTACGAGTATAATATAGATGATGCGAAGCGTTAGCACAAAAATACTGACATTCTCAAATATTTATGAAGCATCCTGGAATATTATCAAAGAACGTTGCAAGACATACACCAGGCTAGCTACGCTTACAAATATGTTTAACGATAGTGGTCAACCAAAAGAGGATCAGAATATTGCTGATATTTTCAACGAATATTTTGTAAAATAAGTTGAAGACCTACTGAATGATATGCAGGCAAACGAATGATGTCGTAGTTCCAGATCTTCTCCGATAAATTCTATGTTTCTCTCACCGGCAGCGGAAGATGAAGTTTTGACATCGTGGGCATATCTGTAAACCATTCTGCAGGCAACGATGGTATTCCATGTGCACTACTTGGTCAAATTGCCGATTTAATTATTACGTCACTGACTCACCTTATTAATGTTTCTGTCCAGGAAGGAGTGCCTACCTCTGTGCTCAAAAAAGCAATAGTTCTAGCGAAAGGGTATCTCTCGCCTCATTTACAACTTATATTACTCTCACCAATTACCTATTTTTTTTTTCAGAAAAGCGCCTTATTCGAGATACTGTATTTAATCTATAAAACGTGATGCCAGACCATTCAGCTCTAATAAGTAAATTTTTTTAATATGGTATTCGAGGGTGTAGTCTTAATTGGTTGACAACGTAACTATACAGGCTGTTCCTTAATGATATGCGAATATTTAAGAGTGTGATGCTAAATGAAAAATTAATGTCAGTTTGCTTTATAAACTATGCTCCAAAAATGTTTCCTTACAAACACTCGGGGTGTTGAAGTTTTAGGAAAAAAAATGGAAATTAATTAATATTTTCAGAGCCGCTTCAGATATTTCACTGACATTTAGTACGTAGTAAAAGTTAATAAAGTTGCATATTGTTCAATGCAAAAATAGTTTTTAGCTGTAATAGTGCCGTGCGTCCGGGTATTGATTTCGATATTTTTTAAAAAAAAATTATTCGCCATGTAGTGCGCGACTGACCGTAGCCTTAATAATTTCTGGACTGACCGTAGCCTTAAGACCGATGAAAGTGGTTCACCTTGAACCGAAAGTGACGCGGCAGTCGGCCGGCAACCGTCGAATGTATCACGTGTGTTGAGTTTGATGTGTAAGATTATTTTTGTTGTAAAAGTTTGAGTAAAGTGAGTCCCCGAAACCGTGTGTTACTACTGCCCACTTCCCACGTATATTGGAGTCCTGCACTTCATTTTGGCGCACAACGTGAGGGCTGTAGTGTTTTGGGGAATTTGCCAGTGAAGGATAAATCATTTTGAGTTTTGCAAAGCGTGGTCGGCCATTGAGAACGAAATCGAAAGTGTCTGATCGCTGCTGCCATCTGACGACTAGGAAAAGCAGTGGAAAACAAATGGCTGATGTTTGATCAGTTGATGTATGACAGCCGCTTTGAACTAAACAAACGACGAGTTGTTTTGGACATAGGAGTTTTGAAATAAGCGAAGAGTTGGGCACTGTTAGCAGAGAGATCCAGGTGTTTAGGAGGTGAGCTGGAAGTTTGGGAGAAGCAGAGTTGGAGCGGAAAGAAGAAGAAAAAGTTATGGTCCAGGTATCATAGAGAAAAAAAAAAAAACTATAGTGCAAGGTACTGTATTTTATTTGTGTATTGGGTAGAGTTAGGTATTTAGATTGAAATCGCTTTTCAAATGAATGATAAAATGGCACCGAAGAAACCAAAAGCCAATGTAAATGAGGAGAACAGTTTGTTAGGTAGTTTGGATGAAAGTGAGTCACCACAGTGTAGTGAGTTAAAAAATATGGTGAATACTTAGCAGATGATTTCAAAAGGTTACAGACGTCTTTATCTGGGGGTAGTAGGCAATATGTTGGTCTGTGGAGGGACCTGGGGGGTCACACTTGACATTTGTGCCTAATGGACCAGTGCATCCAATGAACTTTTTAAGAAAAATTATGCATATCTTGGATGAGGCTGGGGTGCCTGAAACCGCAAGGTTAAAACTAGTAACAGGGTGTTTGAGGGGCTCGGCTGCTGAGTGGGCGGAAATCAAGGAGGATTCTTTTGACTCATTTCAGAGTTTCATTGATGCTTTCATGGATAGGTACTGGGGGGTAAAGAACAACGTGCATTGTACTATGAAATAAAGTATGGTAAATTTCGATCAGGTAGCAGGGCAGATTATGTTCTCCGGATGGCAAAACTAGCCAGTTTTTTGACAGACAAGATTTCTGAGAGTGAGTTAGTGAGGTTTTGTCACAGCATTTTACACAAGAGCCAGAGATTCATAGGGCGGTTTTAATTCAAAATATGAAAACCATAGAGGAACTTGAAGGATTTCTAAGAAATTTAGATGAGGTTGATGCTACTAGTCGTGATAGAAGAAATGAAGGGAGAGGGGGGTACAACCCACCAAATCATAATGGTAATCGAAATTTTAGGCAAGATGCTCAGGGAGAAAATAACAGAAATGATCAGGATAGGGCTATCAGATTTATAGATGTGGGAGAGGATTTATTGAGTGAAATTGAGGATGGTGGAGATGGTGATGAAGGACACCAGATGATTTCCTCAACTGTGAAAGGTAATGTTTATGGTGAAGAAGTAAACATATTACTAGACTCAGGTAGTCAATGTTGTGCGATATCTGATGAATTTTACAAGAAAATAAATTCTGATGAAAATGGGATATTGGTATTGCCGGTGGTAAATTTCTCAGTTACGGGGGCAGTTGGTAAAAGCAACAGCGAATTAAGCAGCAGGTTTTAGTGAAATCGAAATTGGGGGGTGTGTGTTTGAAATCCCTTGCATAGTGGTGCCACATTTGAACCGTTCGGTTATTTTAGGAAGCGATTGGTTTTAAAGGAACATGTCAAACTTGATTATGATGATTTAGTTTTAGCTGTTGATGAAAAAAGTTTAAAGGTGAGAATTCAGTTGGAAAGAAGGGATGAGGCTCAGTTATCGATTAATTTTCTACAAGAAGGACAAATGAAGGATAGGAATAGACATCGTTATACAGATTTCGAGATAAAAGAAGTGGTTACTAAGGCGGAATCGTTTGATGAAAGGGAAAAAGCGGAACTATTGAAACTAGTTAAGGATTTTGAGGGTATTTTCTCTGAAACTCCAGGTCGTATGCCAGTTTATAATCATGAAATAAAAATGAGAGATAACACACCATTTTTTAAGGCCTCATACCCCATTGCAGTGTCTCATCGGGTAGAAGCTCAGCGTCAGTTGTTAGAAATGTTAGAGTTAGACATAATTTCTTTACAGCAAACTGAATATGTATCGCCTCTCACCACAGTCATAAAAAAAGATAACTCAGTACGCATATGCTTAGATGCCAGATATATCAACACTCGCATGGTAAAAGATCATGTTTTACCACCAAACCCAGATGATTTACTGACCAAATTTGATGGTAGCTGTTACCTTTCAACTTTGGATTTGACTGCGTCATATTGGCAGGTGCCAGTGCGAAAAGATGATAGGAAATATTTGGGTTTCCTGTTTGACAATCAAACATATGTTTTTAATGTACTACCATTTGGCCTTTCAACCAGTGTTGCCAGTTTTATAAGGGGTTTAAAGTTAGTTTTGGGTGCAGAAGTAGAGAATTTCACCTTAGTTTATGTCGATGACATTTTTGTCTTTTCAAGGACATCTGAAGAGCATTTACGTCATTTGGGCATCATTTTTGAGAAAATTAAGGCTGCTAATATGACCATTAAATTGCGGAAAACTAAATTTGCGCGCATCCAGGTAGAGTTTTTAGGTCATGTGATATCATCGTCCGGTATTGCCATGAATCCGGAGAGAATTAAGGCTATTCAGGATTTTCCTCGGCCTAGGAATATCCGTGAGTTGAGAAGTTTTTTAGGGATGGTCAACTATGACAGGAGATTTTGTAATAAGTTTGCAGATTTGACTGTACCCTTGTTAAAATTATTGCGCAAGTCAGTGAAGTGGGAATGGGGAGCTTCTGAGGAGTTCGCGTTTACAAAAATTAAAAGGGCTTTCCTGGAAGTTACTATATTAGCACATCCGAATTTTGCAAAGAGATTCTACATTCAAGCAGATAGTTCTGGATATGGACTAGGATCTTTTCTCTATCAAGTAGGGGAGGGGGATGAGTTACATATTTTAGCATTTGCTAGTAGAACGTTGAAGGGGCCCGAATTAAATTACACGGTTACGGAGAAGGAGTGTTTAGCGATAGTGTTTGCATTGATCCAGTGGCGCACCCTGGTGTTGGGGAATGAATTAACCATTAGAACAGACCATAAAGCATTAAGTTACTTAATGCAGTGTTCCTTGAAAACACCACGATTGAGTAGGTGGGTACTATTTATGCAGGAATATAATTTCGATGTGGAATATATTAAGGGGAAAGATAATGTACTTGCTGATGTGCTTTCGCGGTACCCGATCCGGAGACAGGATCCTGAGGTTCCGGACCGTCAGATAGGGGTAGAGGTTTCAATGTTGAGAATAAGTAATGAGTATAGGTTATTAAGGGAAAATATGAAGGGTATAGCTGTAGATCAAGTAAAATCTGACTGGATTTCGAGAATTGTGAAACAACTAGAGAAAGACGCTAATAAGGAAAACGTTACTGATGTAGGAAAGTGGTATGTTGTTTATAAGGGGGTACTTTTCAAACGAGGGTCTCGCGGGTTCCCCGGATATAAATTATGTATTCCGAAGGAATACGTTATTTCACTAATACAGCAACAACATGCTGATTTAGGGCATTTTGGATACAAGAAAATCTTACACCATATGAGGGAACTTTTCTTTTGGCCTAAAATGGCCAAAAATATCCGACAAGTCGTTACTAGTTGTGAGCTCTGTCAGAAAACTAAAATTTCAAAGGGGCTACATGGCACTTATAATGCCATTTTACCTGAAAAAACCGGGACAGTTGCTCACGGTGGATTTAATGGGTCCTCTGCCACCGTCGCGAGGGGGCGCTACACAGCTATTTGTGGTGGTAGAGAATTTTACCAAGTTTACGAAACTTTATGCTCTTCGTAGAGCTACGGCGCGAAGTATTGTTAACAAGCTGGAGCGATATTTTCTGAGATCCTAACTCCAGAAGCGGTGTTATCAGACAATGGAACTCAATTCCATTCAGCGGTCTATATAAAATGTTTGGCGGAAAAGGGTGTAAAATCCATTTACACCTCCGTTTATTTCCCATCGGGTAATCCCACAGAGCGCATGAATAGAGAGATTGGCCGTCTGCTTAGGTGTTTCTGTTCTACCAAACATACCAAATGGGCTTGTGTTCTACCACGTATTGAACACTGCCTAAACAATATTGTCCACGAAAGTATCGGACAAGTTCCTGCGATGTTGATGTTTGGAAAATCAGAGCCTAATGATATTTTTAAACTGATTGATTATCCTCCTGGTAATCCCCCCACTCCGGATTGGACCTCATCACTCCAATTAGCTTCCAACAATTTACGGTCCAAGGCTAGAAAACGCAAGGAGATGTTTGAAAACAAGAATAAAGCTATCACTTTTACTGTCGGGGATTCCGTTTTAGTGAAGACTCACCCAATTTCCTCCGCTGCCAATGCGGAAATCCGAAAGTTATTTGTGAGGTTTGATGGGCCATATGTGGTGTCGCGCATAGTTGGACCCAATTCTTATATGTTAAAGAATATAGAAGGTGTCAATGTAGGCCCTCAGAACATTAGAAACTTAAAATTGTATAAGCGCTGCCCTACCCCTGACCAATTGTAAATTAGGTTTAGTTTAATTAGGTTAGTGTTTGGTATTATATCTTCTGGAATGTAATCCCTCAGATATAATAGGGGGGTGATGTAGTGCGCGACTGACCGTAGCCTTAATAATTTCTGGACTGACCGTAGCCTTAAGACCGATGAAAGTGGTTCACCTTGAACCGAAAGTGACGCGGCAGTCGGCCGGCAACCGTCGAATGTATCACGTGTGTTGAGTTTGATGTGTAAGATTATTTTTGTTGTAAAAGTTTGAGTAAAGTGAGTCCCCGAAACCGTGTGTTACTACTGCCCACTTCCCACGTATATTGGAGTCCTGCACTTCAGCCAATAGTTTTAATTATTTCCCTCGATGCGCCAGTTTTGAGTAAAAAAATAAAAACCGTTCTGTTGTCTAACTTGCAAAATTATTAATTTAATTGGAAAAATTAAAAACATTAGGGGTAATGAACAACAACAACTGACAACATAAACGTAACATTGAAACCAACGGAATAATTACAAAAATTGTTGTCACTTAGTATGCATGCCTCCGCCCTCCTTCTCATGGAATTGCGCACTAGATTGAAATATCTCTGGAGTGTTTTTTATTCTATCACAAGCTGCAACTATTCTTTCTCTTAATTCCTCTACAGCATTGATGGGACTTCTGTACACTAGCGTGTTAAGATAGCTCCACAAAAATAAATCTAAACTTTTGAGGTCTGGGGACTTTGGTGGCCATTCTTGGGGCCCACCGCGGCCAATCCAACGATTTGGATAAACAGTTTGTAAATAATTACGAACCGCTACACTGAAATGCGCTGGTGCACCATCATGACCACATACGAGTATTGTTTCTTATTACTGACGGAACATCATCAAGCAGCAAAGGCAACCGTTGTTGAAGAAAATTGCGGTAAGTCTGTCCGTCAAGTCGTCCTGGCAAGAAGAATGGTTGCTAATAATTCCTGCCCATACGTTAACCGAAAATTGGTATTGGAAATGGGTTTCTGTTACGGTATAGGGATTTTCTTCTGCCCACAAATGATTATTGTGGAAATTCTGAATGGCATTTCGAGAAAAACTAACTTCGTGAACAGAATCATTGATTCAAATTGCGGATTTTGTGCAATTTATTAAGGATACCACTGACAAAAGGTCACACTCCTTGGAAAATCAATGGGAAGTAATGCCTGTACTCTTAAAATATGGTAAGGATATAACAAAAAATCAACTAAAATCCTCCAGACAATTTAATGACAAATATTTAAGTGCCTAGCGATCTTCCTCGTGCTCGTTCTTCGACTTCGTGCAGCACTGCTTCCTCAATTTCAGGTGTTCTCATATTTGGAGGTCTACCTTCAGATGTTCCTTTTCGGACAGAACCAGTTTCAACAAGACGACGATGAATATTAGAGAAGGTTCGACTATCTGGCAAAGCACGATCGGGATATCTCTGGTGATAAATCCATATGGCTTGCTCACCATTACCGTCGGCAAGGCCATATACGTAATGTGTTTCCGCCATTTCTTCTGCATTTTTGTACTAATTCACCATTATTAAGAAGATTGTAAAAACTAAATAATGAAAACGTTGTCACAGCGGACAGATTTAAATAACAGAGACTTGTCAGATGTCAAAAGCCAGTGACATATTCCAGAGCAACTAGATATTAACTGTTAAAACCAGTTCAAGAGAGAACATTTCTTTTAAATTGAACGTGGCATTCAAAAATAATTTTTATTTGGCAAAAAACCATTGGAGTACCATTTTTTTCTTAAAAAATACTGGTCAATACCCGTACGCACGCCATTTTTAAAGCTAAAATTATTTTTGCATTGAAAAATATGCAACTTTATTAACTTAGCTTTCACTACGTACTAAATATCAGTGAAATATCTTAAGCGGTTCTGAAAATGTTAATTAATTTCCATTTTTTTCCAAAAACTTCAACACCCCGAGTTTTTGTAACGAAACACTTTTGGACCATAGTTGATAAAGCAAACTAACATTAATTTTTCATGTAGTTTCAAACCCTTAAAGATTCGCATATCACTAAGGAGCACCCTGTATAACCGTGCACCAGCAGTTCAGGGTAAAAGTGTAATAGGCCTTCTTAAATCTTTACCTTTATCTGTGAAAGCTGGTGGTCCACAGGGAAGTACACTGGGTCCGTTAGTATTTATTATTTTCATCAATGCTACCATGACAGCGTGCCCAAATGTTGCCATAAGGCTCTACGCCGATGACACTGCCTTCACTGTTAAAGCGGCTACTGCTACTGAACTACTTAGCACGGCTACTAGGGCAATAGAGGGCATGTACCAATATTGTACTGAGGCCAGTTTAAACTCTAAGCTGACGATAGTAGTCTATTAGTTAGATGCAACAATAAAAGTGTATGACAGTAAGTACGAGTATATAGGCGTGCTTACTGATAAACTTCTAATCTGGAATAAGCAAGTTGATGTCATTCTTAATAAACTGTCTAAGCACTGCTGTTGTTTTTCATCTCGCAAATTTGTGAGTGTTGAAATTCTCAAGCTGTACTACTTTTCGTACGTCCATTCGGATATTAGCTACTACATAGTTTGCTAGAGAGAGACTGCTCTCGCGTTGGTGAAGTGTTTACAATTGAGAAAAAAAATTGAGAACAATAGCTTTTATCCATGTAGCAATTAAATATAAGGACAGTTCACTCTCTATATATCTACAGATGCCCTGTCTATATCAAAGTAAAATTTGAGTTCTTTCCGTATAAATAAATAATATAAATTCAATGTAATGAATAACGCCAGATATAGACTGTCTTTACCATAAAAAAGAGCCCAACGTTATGGGTACAAAGTTGTACAACAAGCTGCTAACGTGTATAAAGACCACACCTGTCTTATACCTTTTTAACGCAAAAATAAGGACAATGCTTTCAATCGTGTATTTGATTGATGTTCTCTTTTTTATCCATCAGTGTGATGTTATGTTAGTCATTCTTGTTGTTTGCTTTTATATATACATCACGTATGTCCTAAAAGTCTTGGCACATTTATCCGATTTTGTTCTTAATGAAGAAATATATTTAAACACTTTTCGGAAGATTCAGACATGGTATTCCCTGCTCGCACTCCGCTATTGTTCGATAAATAGTTCTGCCTGAAATGCTTCTATTATGAAGTATTCGACAGATTTCAGTTTTTGGCACCCGCCCAACCAACTTGTAGATACTTTTTCTTATTTCTAATTTATACGATATCTTATAGCAAAAGCCTCAAAATAAATAAATGTCAACTGACAGTAAAGTAAGTAAACAAACTTTGTTTCCAAAGCACCTTATTATTATTTTGTGTTTGTTAAAATAAAGCCAGTGAATTTTGTGCCAAAACTTCAGGACATATGTTACTTGAAACTGACAATTCCAATACTACTAATTGTTTAGTCATCCGGAAATAATATTATATATATATTATTATTATTATTATTCTTATTCTTATTCTTATTATTAATATATTAATTCATAAATAGGACATAGCTCAAATAGATATGTTTGCTTTCCATCACTGTAACCATGACCAACCGTAGTCAGCGCGGTTTGTTGCTCATTAGCGGGTGTGGTGCGAAATAGATCTAGTAGTTCTGCAGATAGATGAACGAAAAGCAAACAAAGGAGCTTGGACGTTCTGAAAACTGAAAACCTTGTGCACAAGTCGGTGGGATTTCTGAAGATCGCCACATACCACTGGTTTACCAAAATGACGTTATTATCACGAAACTATTTGTTGTTTACGATTTAATCTTTTTATCAGCAATGAAATGATAGCAAAATATTACAACTAGTGGGAGTATCAGGTAAAGCCACACGTACCTTACGGAACCGAACATAACGGTAAGATAATGAAATATAATTTAAGAAAAAGAATATTACAGCTTTATAGGTAAGGATTTGCTCCAAATTCTTCAACATAGCGATAACTAAGACATCGTGAACAATTGGATAATGGCATATATAGTTTGTCTGACTGGGAATGGTCCCGCTATGTATCAACCCCCTCCATTTGATCCATAACTTTTGCGGCACCCTATACATTCCAGACAACACTTCTCTCAAATACTATATTACCAGAATCGACCTCTGCGAAGTGGTGGTTAAAGGCTGTAGATCGTTTTGACGATTGTCAACTAACATGAAACGGCTATAGACAATTGGTTAAACAGACGAAACCAAACTTAGAAACAGTTTTAACTTAAATCGTTGTCATAATGGTAGGAGGAACTCTTCGTTGCTATTGTCAACATTCAGTTGATATATGACCAGGAAAGAGAGCTTGAAGTCTTTAAGCACATATTTTACAGTCGCTGGCGAATATGCTTCCATCGCGTAAGGTCTGAGTTATTTTGCACGAGGCAAACCAAAAAATGAAAAAACAGAAGTAATCAAATTCCTAATACAGTTGGCCTAGCAGATTTGCGTATTGCTGTTCCATTTTCATGCACAGCACAGCAAAAAACTTATTTCTCGCTGTTTGCATCCGTAACATGTGAGTTGTTTATCCACTGAGACACGTATCACACGTAATTTTTTCACCGTCAAAAATGTAAAATCAACGGGCGGGAAATGATGCTCATATCCAGGACCGCATTAAAGCAATGCTGACACACAAAAAAATATTGTACTGAACAAATCTATCGTGCCTACGTGTTTTTCTGGTAGTTGAATATAAGTACTAGAGCCTCACACTTCTATAGGGCTATTCTAGGTTAAACGTCGTTCAAAATTTTAAATGAGAGTGCCGTTAGAAGTGCCGATATTATTTTCAGTAGCGATAAAAGAATGTGAAGTGAAATGTCACGATTTCGGTTTCATGCCTAATCTTTTTTGGACAATATATCAAACTATTGATCTTTGACAAGCTCACATTGTGATAATCTATCACGAACATGAACCAAATTCACGAGTATAGCAATATTGATTCTATGGTTGTGACTCCCATGATTCTCACTATTCAGCTTGGCCAACTAATACGTCCTAAAAGTGAAAGTAAATGATTTGTACTATAAAACAGAATTATTTGATACCAAACGACTTTATTTCTTATATACCGTCACTCATTATCACAAAGTTACAAGTGAGCCCGATACAGTCGTACATTGCCATGATACCCGATAAAAATTACTTGGAAAAACTCTCTTGAGCTCACAAGACCATCATTATCTCTATTTGGCTCCCAAATTATATTTATGAACATGTACAGTCTGACGTTTCGGCCTAATAGACCAATTTAAAAATGGCTTAAAGATAGAGTAA